GTAATCATAGAAATGTCTTATAAAAAAATAATCATTCAAAAAGAATGATGAGAAATCATTCAACTTGAATAATAAAAAAATTGTTCAAGAAGAATGATGACAAATCGTTCAACTTGAACAATAAATAAATCAAATTATTCAAGAAGAATGATGATGAATCATTTAAGAAGAATGATGACAAATCATTCAACTTGAACAATAAAAATCGTTTAAGAAAAACAATGATAAATTGTTCAACTTAGATGATAAAAAATTGTTTAAGAAGAACAATGACAAATCGTTCAACTTGAATAATAAAAAAAATTGTTCAAGAAGAATAATGATGAATCGTTTGACTTAAATGATAAATAAAATCATTCAAGAAAAATGATAATGAATCGTTTGACTTAAACAATAAATAAAATCGTTCAAGAAGAATGATAACAAATCATTCAACTTAAACAATAAATAAAATCATTCAAGAAAAATAATGACAAATTATTCAACTTAAATGATAAAAAAAATCATTCAAGAAGAACAATGATGAATTATTCAACTTGAACGATATAAAAAATCATTTAAGAAAAATGATAACAAATCATTTAACTTAAACGATAAAAAAATCATTTAAGAAGAACGATGACAAATTGTTTGACTTGAATGATAAAAAAATTATTTAAGAAAAATAATGATAAATCGTTCAACTAGAATGATTCAAAAAGAATGATGATGAATCATTTGACTTGAAAGATAAATAAAATCATTTAAGAAGAATGATGATGAATCATTCAATTTGAATGATAAATAAAAATTGTTTAAGAAGAACAATGATGAATCGTTCGACTTAAATGATAAATAAAATCATTTAAGAAGAATGATGACAAATCATTTAACTTGAATGATAAAAAATTGTTTAAGAAGAATGATGAGGAATCGTTTGACTTGAATGATAAAAAAATCATTTAAGAAGAATGATGATGAACATTTGACTTGAACGATTATTTTCTATAGGACTGAAAGTTCTAATTTCTATAGAATCACAGTCCTATAGTTTTATTTTTAATTTTTTTTTGATTCTTAATTTATTTTTATTTTTATTTCCTTTCCTTCTCTCTAATCTTTTCTTTTTTTTTTTATTATTTTTTTGATTTTTTTTTGATTTAATTCTTTAATTTAAAATTTTTTTTATTTTTTGTTTAATTTTTTTTTTTTTCTTTTCCTTTTTCCCTCAATCTTTTTTTTATTATTTTTTTAATTTTTTTCAAAATCATTTTAATTTTTTTCTTTACTTTTTCTCTTTTGTTTCTTATCCTCCCTTTCCTATCATCATGTTCTTTATTTTTTTTATAAATTTATATATATATTTTTTTAATATTCTTTTTTTTCTATTTTTAATTTATTTTTTAGTTTTATCACTTTATTAATTTTAGATTTCTTTTATTTTTTTTTTTATTAATTTAGAAGTAATCCTTTAATATAAATATACTTTAGAAATATTTTTTAAGGATTTTTTAAAGATTTATTTAATTTACTTTCTTTTTTTAGAAGCAGATTTTTTGTTTATAAATAAGAATAAGTATAAATTTTTTTATATTTAAATGTTTATAAAAATTTAAAATTGACTCATAACTTGATTTGAACTTGACTTGATTTAAATAAATTCAAGTCAAAATCGAGTTAAGTTAAAATTAAGTTGAGTCAAATTGAATTGAACTTAAAATTTATATAACTCAAATTAAATCAAATTGAAAGATTTTATAAAATAAGAAAATTCAAAAAATACATTTTAATATTAAAAAAGAAAAGTTTATAAGTTATGCTACAGTATATTTTAGATGTATATAAAAGAATAAAAATGACAAAGATCTAAAAATCAGTAACTAAATAAAGAAGTAAAGCTTTTATTTTAATAAATTAATATTATTATATAGAAAATATTATATTTATTATTAATTTTTAATAATAACGTATTTTTATTTATGATAATTATTTACAAACATATGAACATTTACAATACTAAAAAGTTAAATTTCTGAAAGTAGTAAGAAATAGATTTAAGATAATATCTAATATTACTTATAGAATTTTAAAATTATATAAACATTTGCAAAACTATAAATTCATTGATATAAATATATATAATAAAAAGTAAGTATATTATTAAGCATCAGTTTTTAGTAAATATACTTATATATTCAATTTTAAAAATCAGTAGGATCAGTGTCTTTAGTTTAGTTGATAACAACTAAATTTCTATTATGGGTTACACTACAATAATCATAAGTTTAAGTCTTAGCAGAAATATAAAATTAGATGATTTTTATAAAAATTTCATATGTAACTAAAAATGTGAATGCATATACTAATATGTATTAGAAATTAGTTAATCTATCCATTGATTAATATTAATAATACCTAAATACTGGATTTTGAAGAACAAGTGGATGTAAATGAAGTCAAAGATCAATAGAAACTTAGCCTTCGCTAATAGGTCTGTAATGGATACTGTTTCACGTCTTCAAACTCAGAAGCTCTTACATAAGTAAGAAAGTAGTTAACTAGTAATTAGTAGATTAAATACTACCTTTAGGTAGCTATAGTGATAATAAACTATATTGTACTATCGCAGCATTATCTAATCAAACTGTCATTAGAAGTAAAGGTTAGATTCAATTTCTGAATGAATTTGATGATATAGGTACAACAGCTACCTATATTTTTGAGATTCTATAAGGATGATAACATCTAAGCCTTCTTGATCATGTGTAAAAATATACCTTGATATCAGGCAGAAATAATAATGATCCAGATATAGTATTGGTAAACATGAAAAAAATTGACAAAAGTATCCGTGATTGAAAGTGATCTTTCTATTCAAATTTGATAATAGTTCTGAGATTCTAAGATTCTTGAGGATTAACTTTTGAGAGTCGACCTAGTTGGTAAATTTTAGACTAGTATTAATGAATGAGTTCTGGTTAGATTTTAAGTTTAGCTACGATCTTAAGGATCTTAAGATTAGTTGAGGTTTATATCTCAGTAATATAATCATTATACAGTCAACTCTTATTATAATGAATTCTATGTTCTAAACTTTAACTTTGCTATAAGGCTATAGTGAAGATTTTAAGAGATTTGATTAGCTAATTCACTATAACAAGAGTATTTTTAATATATTTGTTCAAAAAATTCATTATATTATATTAAGAGTTGACTGTATGGTCTTCTAGTATTCGAATATTGTAACTTTAAAAAAAATTCTAAAAATTAGTTCTTATCAGCAAAAGAATATCTTAAAGAATGATTATATTTAAAACTATTTTTTATTTGATAAATAATTTTATAAAAGCTCTTAGATTTACAACACTTTTGCTTAATCGTATTAATATTATAGACTTAAAGAAATTTATTGTAAATTTTAATTAGAATACAAGCTTTAAGTAATTTTTTATTAATCTTTGAAAATAAGAATTATTATTTAATTAATAGATAAAGATACAGAAGAAATATTAGCTATAAAAGAAGTATGATTATAGATAACTAACTTACAATTTTATTATTAGAATTTAAAACATGCTATTAATAAGCATTTAAAAGATTAAAAATAAAAATCATCTAATTACTTAAAGAATAAAGTAATAAAAGCTTACTAATAATTTAATTTTATTGAATTATTATAAATTCTAAATAATTATACTGGAAGTTTAATTTAGATAATAAAATTAAGAAAATTATAAATATAATTAAATTATGTATCTATTAATTTTAGTAGCAAAAATACCTTTTGAACTTTTACTTAAATCTATCAATACTGTATATAAGAAGTATATTAATTTTATTGTGATAATAATTTTGCAAGTTATAAGGTTATTTGTGAACAAATTCTGATATAATAAAAAGTATTAGAAGTTATTTATTTATTTAACTTATTTACTAGTAATACTTTTAACTCAAATAATAATGATTAGAAAAAGATCAGAAATGATATAATTTTCTAAAGAAGAGAGATGATTTACTTAGAATAACATTACTATATGATTTTCTTATTTAAAAGTAATAAAAATAATAACAGAAGAAGAAGGAGGGTCAAAATTCTTAAAATCAAAATGACATAATTTCTGGCACTCTTCTTATTAAAGCTATTAAAAAGAGCTTAAATATGATTATAAGTATAATTATAATCATCTGCACTTGACTGTTTAACACAGATTCTTATTGAATAGTTAATATTAAATTCTGATTTCAAATTAACTCAATACTATACAAATTACAATTTTCTATTATGATGACAAACCTTTAAGAAGGATTAGAATAAAGCTGCAAATACATATATGAATTTGAAATGAATGAAAGATATCATTTTAATATAATTAACTGGATATGTTATTGTCTAGCATACTTCTTTAATCTCTACCTTCTTTGCAAGCATTTAATTGCAAAAAAAAATATTTTGCCTATCTTTATAGAAAGAGTACATCACCATGATTATCTGCTTTTTTTGATGCAGATAAAGTATCATCAATTTGCCAAGAAAATGATCTTTAGAAAAGATACAGGTCAAATATTATTGAAAATGATTCTACCAAAAAATCCTGTTCAAATTCTAGCAATTTGTAAAAATATAGAATTAGCAAAAAGGAATAATACAAAAGACGAAATAGAGATAAGTTGGCTCACTATAAAAAATCTTTGATTCTGCCTTGTAAAAAGCTTTGATACTCTTGTAAAACCAGTTGTTAAAGCTGTAGAAGAATGTGAAAAAAAGCTAAACGCTCATACACAAAAGTATATGGGATCAAAAATGGAAAACTTGCTTTCTGGTTGTATTAAAAGGTTATTATAAAAATTCATTTATTATAATTTTTTCACAATATAAAATATTAATAAAATAATATATAAAGCACTGAAAAATTTATATAAGTTCTGCATTAAAATAGAATCGTAAAAAACTAAAAAAGCTTGAACAAAAAAAAAAGATTTAGATCGGCATCACATGATAGCCACTTTTCTTTTCGCCATGGCTAAGCACCCATTAAATATAATAAAGATTTGTTTCGCCTGATTTTAATTTTTGTCTATTCTATTTCTATTTTACTTAATTTTGCGATTCTTAGTTTCTTTGAAGGTGGGGACGAGGGTGGAGATGAAGGCGGATCTGGTAAATCTAAGATTTGATTATTGGAGCAAACGCGTTCAATTTGGTCAGCAGTTGACAACTCTTTAGTAAATTCGAGATCATTTGATTGTTCAGGAGTTTGCAACAGGGAAATTGTGCGAGAAATTCGTAGCTTTATTTGGAATAAAAACACCAGATCAGTAAATGTTCGTAATGATTATAAATAAGCAGACCAAAATTATACCTTGCTTGATAACACAGCCGTTATCAGCTTCAACAGATTGTCAATATTCACCGGTTCCTTGGGAACTTCTAATAGGGCTCCTTTTCGAAGACGTATCATATACCCTTCTGCATAGTCAAGGACGAATATTTGCAACATTCTCTCTGATAATAAGAGTCGTTTGTGTCATAAATATAACAATGGAAGTCATGCTTGTAGACAGTTAAACCTACCTGAATGCAAATATCCAACCATCTCGATCTGCTTCAATACTTCTGTACTTAACTCTGCTGAAAATCTTCCCAACATGTCTCGTAGCATTCTAGTCAACTTGAAACCATCTGACATAAATTTCTTATCCTTTTCACCCTGAAAAAGACGACCATGTTCCGCAGCACCGTATTCACAAAGACCTTTTTCCATGCGGAACACTCCATCACCACGGCGACCGAGTGGTTTACGTACTTGTAAAATTCTATTTTTTGCTTTGCGCTCACTACTAGCGATAGAACAAGACTCTCCCCTAAATGTTCAAACTTTATGAATTAAAACAGGAATAATTATAATAATTATTAAATTATTCTTCAGATTACCTGATGAGTTCCACGTCCTTCAAGTTCCACATACATTGATCGATAATTGATGACCAGATGTTTGTGTCATACCACCGCTCAAGATGCGATTTCTCAAAAACACGCGGTTTTATTTCATATAGAGTCAACCTATCGAACAAGTTCTAGTAAAAAACTCCATAAAAGCATTATTGTGATATTTTGATGAAACTAAACTTACAAATTACTTATGCAGTTCCTGATCCATATATAGTCGAACTGCTCTTCCACATCATTATCAGTTTTCTTACACAGTTTGCTGACGGCTTCTCGAAGATCTTTTACATTCGTCTATAAAATAGAAAAATATTAGCATTGAGCAAGCCAATAACTTTTTTCGAAATACGTGCCTTTCTGTACCGCGTTATGTAATATAGAAGATCAGACTCGATTTTTGGCGATTTTTTAGAATTATTCTCGAGAATCTCGTTCCATTCATTTGCAGAGAAGAGGTCACGAATATTTTTATCATCAGTGTCTAAAACAAATGAATGCACCAAACTGAAGCACATGCATAAAATCAATTAGTAATTGCATATGATGAAGTGTGAATTTGGATTGATAATGCCAAAATTACTTTTCATGTTTAAGCGTTGATCCATATTTGTAGATGATGTCTTCAACCTTGTTTCCGGATCCCAGTATCCACTTTTTTTCTTCATCAAGTCCTTTGTATGAAGATTCAAAATGTTCAATAAAATTTCTAATATTCTCATTGCTAATAAGATAGAGGACTGTAATAAGTAACGCGATGTTTATTATAAAGGAAATACAAATAGTTGGATAGCAAAATAGCAACCTCTCTTCCTTAGTTATTTCATTTTCCATATCTCTTATTTTATTCTTCCGATGAAGGATTATTGATGACCAAAACATCCGAAAGTACTCTATATCTCTAAATTCACGTTTAATCTGCCAAGAAAAATACTGTTAGTGATAATTTCTAGGCAATAATTTTTAGGCTAAGGAAAGTGTGGGACTGAGGTTGATTACCCATACTCTTTTCAGGATTTACCCGTCGAGAGCTGTCCACACATATATACGGTATACCGCAACTTGGACTGAGGTTGTTTTTACCCGTACTCTGTTCAGGATTTACCCGTCGAGAGCTGTCCACACATATACCGCAACTTGGACTGAGGTTGTTATTACCCGTACTCTGTTCAGGATTTACCCGTCGAGAGCTGTCCACACATATACCGCAACTTGGACTGAGGTTGTTATTACCCGTACTCTGTTCAGGATTTACCCGTCGAGAGCTGTCCACACATATACCGCAACTTGGACTGAGGTTGTTTTTACCCGTACTCTGTTCGGGATTTACCCGTCGAGAGCTGTCCACATACAAATATCTAATGCTACTTAAACTGAGTTATTTATACCTTCTCGTTCACGTTAGTTCCCAAATGTGCAATCTCTTCTAGGAAGCGTTTGCACCATACGCTTTGCAAATTATCCCAAGTTTTTGAAAAGGGTGGGAAGATGACAATAAGGGGCCGGCTGAAGTTTAAAAACTGTATATATGATATCCTCTGGAGGGACATCAGCCACATAACTCTGAAGAGCTGTCAAGTAAAAATTGATTAATATAAAACTGACAATCCTTAAAATAAGAATAGATTGATTACCGGAATGACCAAGGAACTTTTCTTTGTTCAAGGATGAGAGTGATGGAAGCTCCATGGTACGAGCAATACGAATAATACAAAATACAAGATTCACTTCAGAAAAAACGAAAATTTTTTGGGAGAAATTGTGAAACGCTCATTTAAGCGTTTACGCGTTTCATTTAATAGTCATATCAGTCACTGGACATTTCCATTTCCGGAAATCAGGGGTCATACGGATTTACTGAATTTACTAATTAAATATGCAGCTTGTCGATCGCTTTGCCCTTTCTAATAATGACAGCCACTTCCCAAACCTTATCCAGAAACTTTTGACTGTTGTTTAGATGCTGCATCAATTCTTTTCGATAATCCAAAATCAGCAAGTAAATAAAATAAATAAATGTCAATATGTAATAGTTACTCGGCACTTTGGTTGGATTTTGCTGAGCTCCGCTCAGCAAATTCCACTTGATCATATTCTTATTGCAAATACATGTAAGGCCGCAGTTACGAGGTCACGTAGTGCCGAGTGACTGTTTTATCGGTTTACACAAAGTAGTTTAATATAAAAACTTTATTAGAATTTTTTTTTTAGCTTTATTAACGTTAAACTATTTTTTCATAAGAACAAATGATATTTCTTTTTTTTTTTACGCGCCTTGATTTCCCAATAAAGTTTTTTTTCTTTTGATAATATAAATGACACATCCTGAGGTAATCAATTACCCTCTATCAGCACTTGCGAAAGGTAGAATTCTAATTATCTGCGTCACATGTACCTGATGAAGATCATACAATACTATCATAAAAAAAAAAGATCACAAATACAAGAAAGTGACGATAGTTTAAGAAATATTATAAAAATTGCACTTTCAATAAATAAATTAAT